ATTTCCGAGCTCGGCTTGCTCACTGGAACGCTGAATCGAACTAAAATTCTCAGGTTCTTTAGTTTTCTGTTCTCGTTCTGTTGGTTTGGGCTGTAGCATCTGATATTAGGTGTGTTGGATTTGAGGTAGCTGAAGCTCAAAAACGATTTGCACTATCTGTCGAGTATTGTAATTTCACGCTGCAGGCTTGTGGAAACTCTGCAACTCTGTTTTGTTTATTTTTGAGGCAGCAATTCACGCTTCACAAGACCTGTAATTGTAGAGCTTGCTTTGCTCTGCGATTCCCAGTTCAGGGGTTACGAACGTAGCTGCTATGAGTACCAAGAAGAAACAGGGGCCGGTTACAAGGTCTAGTTTTGATGTGTTGCACGATTCAGATTGTGAATTTCCAGCTCTAATGCACGGCATTAATGCGAAGAAGAACAAAGGGTCTGCTGTGGTTAAGCCACCTGCTGGTATTGATATACCTGTGGCTTTGTCCCCTGCTGCAAATGCTCTGGCCGAAACAGTTAAGGGTAATGCTTTGACCCCTGCTGCAGTTAAGGGGACTGCTGCAGTAAAGGGGACTGCTGCAGTAGTTAATGAAGGGGGAGAACTAATTGAAAAACCAAGTGCAAAGGCAACCGAACCATGGAATGCTCTCTTTAAAGACAACCGTGACCCTAGGCATGGAATTAAATTGAAGTATGTACCTCCTAAAGGCGAAACATTGGACCTTGGAGACCGTATTTTACCCTCCATGGTTGAAATGTGGGGTTATTGCCTAGTTGGCCACTTCACCGGAAAATTTCCCGGACTCAAAGCGGTGCATGATCTCAAAGTTACATGGGGTGTTAAAAGCCTTGTGAGGTCCCACAAAAAGGGTTGGATGATTTTTAAGTTTCAAAATGAGGAGGATAGATCTAAGGTACTACATGGGGGACCGTACACCGTATTTGGGAAACTCCTAATGCTTAAGGAACTCTCAGAAAATTTTTCTTTTGAGGATGAAGAATTCCTAAAAGTACCCATTTGGGTTAAGTTTCATGATTTACCTATGCAATTATGAAATGATGAAGCCATGAGTGAGGTCGCATCCATGGTTGGTGTCCCGATAACAACGGATAAAATCACTCAAGAACGGATCAACAATGATTATGCTCGAGTGTTGATAGAGGTAGACATCTCAAAACCACCACCACTCTCTTTTCCTATAAGACTACCTTCCAAAAAGGTAATTAAGCAAAGTGTGGTATATGAAACTTTTCCTAGTTATTGTTTTTATTGTAAAGAATTTGGCCATCATCCTTTTATTTGTAAGAAGTTATCTAAATGTGGGGTTGGGGAAAACAAGGAGAATGGAAAATCTATTGTGGTTGTTGGTGATTTTGAGGTAGCTAAACATGCTGCTGTTCAGCCAGAGTCTGTTCAGGGGGAACACCCGACCGGGCTACCTCTTAACTCGACCGGGTCACAGGGGAATAACAAGGTCCTGGGCCTAAACCTGAGCGGGCCTTCTCACAACCCGACCGGGTCCCTGCGGCAGAATGTTTCGCAGCCTCCTGCAGCTTCTGTTGGGGGCAAGCCGTGTGTCCAGGAAACTTCTGAGGGTGTAAAAAAGGCTATTTCGTCTAAGAAACAAATGAATGAGGATCATGAGGCTAATTTCGAAGAAATTGAGAGGGTTGTGACAAATGAATTGGAATTGCATCAACATGATGTGGTCACCAAATGTGAGATACTAAATGGTAAGACACTCAAGTTAGTAGTCAAACCGTTTAGATTTGTGCATGCTAGTGTCATAAGAGTTGATGTCTTTCTTCGCCTTACGGATGATTTGGACAAAAAGGGTTTAACGTTCAGCGCTAAATGTCTCGAAGCCATACCGGGAGTTACTAAGAAGAAAGGGGAAGTTGTCTTTGACTCAAAGTTCACTGTTCCTTTCTGGGGTTTCTTTGGATGTTAAATTAGGGATACCTAATTCTTGTTGACTTGTAAGACTATGTTTGTTGTTCTTTTTGGGGCCCATATGGTGGACGTGTGAGATCATGTGGTTTTGATTTTGTGGTATTCCGTATATTGGGATATGCACTTTGATTGTACGTTTGATGCATTGTACTATGCTATTTTTCTGGATATAATACATTTACATTTTATCCAAAAAAAATGGATGACCAAGTCGGTGGAACAATGACCAATCAGCATAGGGCAGCCCATGCTGTCCATTAGTATAAATAGAAGGTTTCAAGTCATTGTAAGGGTTAGCATTTCAATACTCAGGCTCTAGAATAGCATCATTGCTCTTATTTCTTGTATTAAAGTATTGTTTCCGACCTACCGATCGGGAAATTCCTTGTAATCAGACTGGTTAGTTAATACAAGTGAGCTTTCGAGTATTAGTGAGTATACATTTTATATTTTGTTTATACACGTTGATTCTGTGTCATTCCTGATATATCCAAAGTTCGTGTTGGGCTTTCGGATCTGCGGGATTTACACTCAACATATATTATTCTATATATAATTATACATTATATGACTATACGTATAAAACTTAAAATACTTGGAAGTATAATTTCATTACCATGTCATTATTCACAAGTGTCATTATTTTCCATTATTTTTAACTTGTAAGGTTCCGCAAGTATGTTCAAGATCGGTGATGGACGTTCGAATAATAACGAGGATGAAGAAGATGAAATGCTACTCTAGTGTAAGACAATGCTTCTCTTTCACAGACGGTAAGATTCAGAAATCACAATATAGTAGTTTTCATTATCTTAATGTTTTTACTTGGTTTATAAATAATATTTGGTTTTCATTATTTGATATTTATTGGCACTTGGCAGAGCAGTCTGGGAGATCAATTACTTTCTGGTGAAATGAAGGAGTGTCAAGAAGTTCTTGGAATCTTGGGATATCAATTACTTTTTGTGTTCTACTATTTAAATTTGAACTGTAATGATATACATTTGTTAAGTCTTTTTGGAGATACTCTTGACTATTTCCGCTGCACATTGTGAATCTGTGATTGTGCTTTTAATTATGGAATATGGATGCTTATTTGGAATTTGGATGCTTTTTATTTTCCAGAATCGTTTTGTGTTTTGCATTTAAACGTATTCTTGTGTTCAAAATGTGTTGTGAGTACATTAATTCTTTAATTGCATTTAAAATGTTGTGATGTTATTTTATAAATATTTTCATTTTTTTAACAAAGTTGACAAAAGGATATTTTCCGGGCCCAAAAGCCCGGTGGGCAGCCCGACCCGCTCTCATGGGCGGGCTTGGACATATGAGGAGGTCCGTTGTACCAGGCCGGGCCGGGCCCGCCCACTACAAGTGGGCAGATTTTTTAGAATAAGCCCGGCCCGAGCCCGGCCCGAGCCCGACCCGAGCCCGTGTTTGTGCAGGTCTACATAGAAGATCTACCAAGTAATTGCCCCGTCCATCAAGCACGTATGTACACTGCCTCTAGTGACCTCTTACCTCTCTATATAGGGACTATCATATAAGTATATGGAGAATGACCAAAATTAAAAGTAAATTTTAGTAATAATATATAATAATACCTACCTCAAGTAAAACAAAACCCAAAAGGCATGTTTTGCAAAATACTTTGACGAAAAAAAGTTAATTGAGCTAAAGATCGATTATTGTTGCACTTACGTACAAAAATTGTGTGTTAATAACTATTGCCGCTGAAAGAAAGAAAAAAGCTTCAGAATGTCGAAATAAAGAGGAAATGTCTAAGCATTTCTGCATTTGATCGAGTCCTTCATAAAAGCTTGAAGTCTCAAACATCTCTTGATGGTGGGTAACTAAATTGCACCAAATCATCACGTTACTACAAAACAATTACGGGATTATCACGGATTTGACACAAATTTATTGATATTTTTTTGCTAAATAGTTTGTAACAATTTTTTATAAGTCGTGTTATTCTTTTGCCGTGTGTGTTATATATAAATCATGCACTTTATTCCTGTGTATTTTTAAAAAGCTTAAAAAAACCTTAAGTTTTAATAAATCATTCTCACCCTGAATTTTCTATTTTACTAATGTTCAACTATATCACTTTTAATTACGATACTACAATAGACAAACCTTTCAACAACAATAAAAATCTATCCTGAACAAGAACAAGATCAAACATAGGAATACATGTATCTTATTTTACATTAGAAAACAAAAGAATTCTATTTGTGAATGTTTAAAATATTTTACTCCGTAACTCTGAATGAGTTTCATTCTTTTACGGCCTCACTAACACCTACATAGTATTTAATGCCGCTTCAAGGGGTAAACAAAAAATAAAATAAAATAAATACCAACCGACAAATCAGCCGAAACTGATCAACACCGATCGAATAAAACCAAAATGGACCGAAACAGAGTAAAATCCTACCAAAACAAGCTCAAATATACGGCAACCGATAGAAATCGACTGAAACGTCCCAAGTTTTCAAGTCTGGTTCTTGGCTTCACCCGTTTTTAAAAGTCGCTAAAATTGACCGATTAAAAATCGAACCGACCAAATTCGAACGACTAAAAACTGAACCCGATGAAAACGGAACTCATAAAACCGAAATCAACGAACCCCCAAGCATAGTCTTGAGTCTTGACTACACATTTAGGTCCTATTAGTGACAATTCATTTTAGAAAATTAAATTGTTTTTGACACTTTTTGCACACTTTCTCATATTTTGAAATATGTTCAATGTTAAATGTCAACATTTTTTTACTGGAATGAGTTTCGAACATGTAACCTTCTCTTCGAGAGTGTTTGATGTTAAATACTCTCTCCGTCCCTTATAACTTTGTCAATTTTCCTTTTTTGGATGTCTCATTAACTTTGTCACTTTCCCTTTTAAATAAAGAATTTGTGGTTCCAATTAATTCTCTCTCCTCTTCGATAACCTCAACCACACACTTTTCACTTTATTAATTCTCGTGTCGGTCAAACTTGGCAAAGTTATTAGAAACGGAGGGAGTATTCCTTATGTCCCAATGGACTGTTAATTTCTCAACTAAATTTTCTAAGGCCTTCTCGGTCCTCCTCCTCCAGACCTCCAGTCCTACACCTCACGAGTTGCAATCACTGCTGCCGTCCGTTGTTTTGCCGTCGCGTTTCAGTTGTCACCATCGCCAATTCCCTGCTTCCAATCTCGATTCGCTCCGGCCACCGGCTTAGCGAGTTCCGGATTTCCGGTTATTCCAGTCGGCACCAGTGCACCAGCGGTCCAGCCCTCAGGATTCAGTCAATCCACAAGCCACAACTCCATCGCGGTTCCGCTTCAACGTGACCACGCCTGACGCCTCCACTCATGGTTATTGGTTAGTCTCAGCTTTCACAATTTACAATGTAATTTTTGCAAGCCTAATTTGAAATTTGGAGAGACGTTTCCCAGTTCCCAGTCATTTCGTTGCGATTAGACCGGAAATTTGCTTGACTATCTCAACTACGAATGTGGAGAGCATACTTTTGCACAATGGATGGTTCAATTTATCGGTGTCTTGCTCGACTTTTGCTTAATTTATTGGTGTGGCAGTATGGTTTTTTTCTTAATTTATTTGTGTGTGTGGCAGTATATAAGAATAAGATGTTAGTAATATAGGAGTAATTTATTTCATAGTGACACCTTAACCTGTAAATCTGCTGCACTTTAGCTAACTATGTTTGAGAATTAGGTTTTTAAGGTATCTTACTCTTTTCCTTTCCCCTGTTTGAATATTTGATTTTAACAACTGAATTAACTATTCTTGTTTTCGTAGCGTGAAACTTTTAGTTTTATTATGCTTTCTGAAATAGGTCACCCTTATCTCTGAATAATATTTTCTCTGGTAACTCATTCCCGTTAGTAATTTTGCTACTTCACATGCTACTTTCCATGTTCTAAATTTTGTACTAAATTGATCTGGGTGGATGGGATCCGGCGTCTCTGCCTGGACTACGCAGAATTGGAAGGTGCCTGGCAATTGTAAGCTCTCAGATCAAAAAAAGGGATGGTAGGAGATCAAGGGTCCCATTTTTTACACAGATCTCAAGGCTTGGGTTTTAATCTCTGCCATTAATTTTAGCAAGGCACTCTACCTTAAGGCAGAGGATCTCAATCCGGGTGGATGTGCCTAAGAGAAAAATTGAAATCTCTCCGTGGATAATATTAATACTCTATCTTATTGGATAAGTATTCATGAATTTAATTATTATTGTTGAAAATATAGTGAAGCTTGTTGATGTTACTTTAGGGGGGAAAAGTGATCAGTATATATGAAAACAACAAAGTGACAACTAAGTGTCTTGGTAGACTGGCTAAGTACACCAATAATTTGTAGAAATAGGAATGACAAGGTTCAGTTCCCGTCTATGGCATAACTTTAATTTTACATGAGATGACATGGACTTGTGATGTGGCAAGTAAATGATGTGGACATGGAATTTAACTCGGGTGCTGCCATGGCACCTATAACTCGATGGCAAGGAAAAAATGCCTTTGTTTGTGAAATAAGTTCAAAAGTACCATAATTTGGGAAATAGATTTGAAAGTACTCGTGTCCTGAAAAAAGTCTGTTATTCATTCATCTTTGAGAATGTTAGAAGTACCCTTCATGGTATCCTTAATGTTAGAAGTACCCAATAGTTTATCATATCAAACGATCGAAATGATGAATCATTGAAGCTCCGAGTAGAGAGAGAAAATAAAGCAATTTGTAGAAAGTGAAAGTAGAGTGGTAGTATATATTAGGTTAAATGAATAATCAACAACCTCATGCATCAATCTCAAAATGGATATTTATAGGTTTGTATGATAATATTAAACTATTAACTAGATGAAAGGTTTTCTAATGCTTTCGAGAAAGTGCATGGGTCATATGCTTAGTTTTACACTTTTACCTCAGTGTCAAACTTGACTAAGCTTCAGGGAGAAGGTTAGCTCTCATGCCTGAGATCAGGCTTGCTCGGCGAGGCTGAAGGTCTACTCTAAGGACCCATTGTTGTTGAATAACTCATATACAGACATGAATGAACTCGTTGTCCTATCAATGATCTCAAGCTCAAAGGCCTAAGCTCAAATGCTCCATGACAAATGTATATTAAAATAATAGTTAACTTCTAATACAAGAGAGAGTTTTTAGGTGAAAGATCAGAACGGCACGGGACAGGCCCCGACTACATATATGCTCCATTTGTCCTGAAAATAATGATCTCACTTTCCTTACTTATGTGTCTAAAAAAGTTCTCATTTCCATAAACGATTAATATACAAATATGACTATTAATTTTACATTTTGATTACTGTAGGTTTGAAGAATTAATCTTCCATATATTATTGAGCCATCCGGCAATGATATAAATACAAAATTACAGATAAGCTAAGGTTTGTTACAGATCCTAATATTTAGGATCTATCTATTCTTATCTACACTGCGTGTTAATCTAAGAGTTAGAGTCCTAAATCAACTCTACTTCCTATCTATACAGTTCCGGATGTACACATAATAAAATAACATGAATATGCTACATTTTTCTACACTCCCCCTCAAGTTGGTAAGTATATATCATACATTCCCAACTTGCTTATAAGAAACTCAAACACTGGTTTAAACAGCCCCTTTGTAAAGATATCAGTTGTCTGCTCTTTAGTAGATATGAATGGTGTGCACACAATTCCAGCTTCAATCTTCTCTTTGATAAAATGCTTGTCCACCTCAATGTGTTTAGTACGATCATGTAGCACAGGATTGTGAGCAATATTAATGGCTGCTTTATTGTCACAATATAATTTCATAGGTAGGTCCATTTCCATATTCAACTCTGTCATCATTCTCTTGATCCAAAGTAGCTCACAGATTCCATTAGCCATAGATCTAAATTCAGATTCTGCACTACTTCTGGCAACAACATTCTGCTTCTTACTCCTCCAAGTCACCAGATTCCCCATACATAAGTACAATACCCAGATGTAGACCTTCTATCAGTTATTGACCCAGCATAATCTGCATCTGTAAAGGCTTCTACACTTCTATTGTCACTTCTTTTAAAAAATAATCCTTTCCCTGGACAACTTTTCAAATATCTTAGGATCCTGTAGGTAGCATCTAGATGTTCTTGGAATGGATTATGCATGAACTGACTAACCATACTGACTGCAAAGGCAATATCTGGCCTTGTATGTGCCAGATAAATCAACCTTCCCACCAATCTTTGATATTGGTGAATATTAACGGGTACTCCTTCCTTGACATTTCCTAACTTCTGATTAGGGTCAATTGGAGTATCTATTGGTCTGCATGCACTCATACCTGTTTCATGAAGTAGGTCTAGTACATACTTCCTTTGGGATACCACAATTCCCTTCTTTGATCTGGCTATCTCCATGCCAAGAAAATACTTCAATTCTCCCAGGTCTTTGATTTCAAATTCCTGAGCAAACTTCTTCTTCAAGTCTTCAATCTCTTCACAATAGTTTCCTGTAAGAATTATATCATCCACATAAACAATTAGTACTGCAATTTCTCCCTTAATGGAGAATTTCATGAATAGTGTATGATCTGCTTGGGCTTGCTTGAATCCCTGCTTCTTTATGAACTGAGTAAACCTTTCAAACCAAGCCCTTGGGGACTGTTTAAGCCCATATAAGGCTTTCTCTAGCTTGCACACCTTTGAGCCATATTGTTCCTCAAACCCAGGAGGAGGGCTCATGTATACTTCCTCTTCAAGCTTCCCATTTAGGAAAGCATTCTTCACATCTAACTGTTGAAGAGGCCAGTCTAGGTTAGTAGCTAGAGATAGTAGAATCCTTATAGTATTTAATTTTGCAACTGGTGCAAAAGTTTCTGTATAATCTATGCCATAGGTTTGTGTGTATCCTTTGGTAACCAGTCTGGCCTTATATCTTTCAAGTGTACCATCTGCCTTGAATTTAGGGGTAAACACCCATTTGCATCCAACCCTTGGTTTATTTTTGGGTACCTCTACAGTCTGCCATGTCTGATTCTTTTCAAGGGCATTCATTTCTTCTAAAACAGCCTTCTTCCACTCAGGTATAGATAGGGCTTCCTGTATGGTTAAGGGAATAGAGACAATGGAAAGGCTAGAGGTAAAAGCTGCAAATGATGTAGATAACTGAGAATAGGACAGATAGTTTGAGATAGGGTATTTAACACATGACCTTTTTTCTTTTCTGAGAGCAATGGGTAGATTTAGATCACTGAAATTATTACCTTTGTCATTTTCTGGCATTGAGTCAGATTCATTGACAGTGGCAGGATCAGGGATGTCCTCTATTCTGTGATTTGGAACTCTCCTTTCATAAACCTTGCCAAAAAACTTACTTGTCTGCTGTTCATCATCTTTCCTTGTTTCAGAAAAAAAAAAAATCATTTTCTTTTGACTCTTGACTATTTTCTAGTGCATCTAACTGTCTATTATACTGTGCATCTAGATTAATGTCAAGAGGTTCTAGTTTTTCAAGGATATGTGATACATTATTACCATCTTCATTAGGAATCTCCCCCTGAAGATGAGTACCAAAAAAAGGTTGATCTTCTACAAAAACAGTGTTCATAGTTATAAACATCTTTTTTGTTATAGGGTCAAAACATTTATAGCCTTTCTGAGTTGAAGAGAGTCCTAAGAAAACACATTTTTTTCCTTTAGGGTCAAATTTACTTGCAGTTCTGTCAGGATTGGTAATAAAAACTGTGCACCCAAAAATTTTTATGGGAAGAGAATTAATTAGTCTAGTTTCAGGAAAACAAGTTTGAAGAGTATCAATAGGAGTTTTGAATCCTAGAGTTTTTGATGGCATCCTATTAATTAGATAGGTAGCATGTAAAACAGCTTCTCCCCATAAATATTTTGGAATTTTGGCAGAAAACATTATTGCACGAGTAACTTCAAGTAAATGTCTATTTTTCCTCTCAGCTATTCCATTCTGAGCAGGTGTATTTACACAGGAACTTTGATGAACAATCCCTTTTTCAGCAAAAAAAGTATTTAACTTCTTAGAAAAATACTCAAGTCCATTATCACTTCTCACAATTTTGATATTAGTGTTGAATTGAGTTTGGATCATTGAGTAAAATTGTTTGAACACCTCTTCAATCTCAGATTTTTCTTTAAGTAAAAACACCCATGTGACCCTTGTGTGATCATCTATGATAGTTACAAACCACCTTTTTCCTTTCAGAGTTGAAACTCTAGATGCACCCCAGATATCACTGTGTACAATAGTGAAAGGACTAGTTGGTTTGTAACTATGAGGGATGTAAGAACTCCTATGATGTTTGACAAGTGCACACATATCACAATGAAATGATGAAGGATTTTTATTAAGAAATAACTTAGGAAACAACATTTTCAAATAGGAAAAACTTGGGTGACCTAATCTATAGTGCATTAAGTACACTTCATTATTACAAGGAAAAACAGTTTGCAAACAAGTTTTTTCTTGACCTTGTTTATTCAATTGTGTTCCTTCATCAAAAGTATAGAGGCCATCTTCCTCTCTAGCACTGCCAATCATCTTCCCTGATGCCAGATCCTGAAAAATGCAATAAGAGGGAAAAAATTTTACACAACACTGAAGATCTTTAGTAATTTTGCTAATAGAGATAAGATTGCAGGAAAGTTTAGGAACATGTAAGACTTTGGAAAGGTTAATGGATGAGGAAATTTTAATATTTCCCATCCCTGCTATGGCTGAGAAAGAGCCATCTGCAACTCTAACTTTTTTCTCCTGCACAAGGTTGATAAGAAGAAAACAACTTTGGAATGTAGGTCATGTGGTCTGTTGCACCTGAGTCAATGACCCAGGTGTTTTTAGTTTTTTTAGAACAAAAATATGATGTTATTTTACCATTCTGGGCAAAAGAACAGGTAGGGTTTTCAGGGTTGGAGGTTTTCTAGGTAGGTATGAATCTGAGTAGGTACTCTATCTGTTCCTGAGTGAATGGTAGCTGTTTAGGTTCAACTCCTGCCTCTTGTTGAGTCTCAGTCACAGTAGTTTGTAGGGCCCTTTCTACTTTCTTCTTCCCAGCTCCTGGTGGTTTTCCATGGAGTTTCCAGCATGTATCCCTTGTGTGCCACAGTTTCTTGCAGTGATCACACCAAGGTTTTTTCTTGTTGTCATCACTTCTGGCCACCAAAGCTGAAGATTCCCCAGGTTCCTCATTAGGTGCTGGGGTGTTGTACATGACCTTCTTCCTGCTATCCTCCATCCTGATTTCAGAAAATACCTCCCTGATAGAAGGTAGAAGTTTTTTTTCCAAGTATCCTCCCCTTAACTTCATCTAGGTCCCTATTGATCCCTGCTAGAAACATATAGACCCTATCATTCTCTTCTTTTTTCTTATGTGTGGCCAGATCCTTAGCACTCTCCCACTCTTCATCATCATAGCATTGATCTAATTCTTGCCACAGAGATACCATTTCATTGTAGTATGAAATAATATCCCTATTTCCTTGTTTAGATTGCCACAATTTGGTTTTGAGTTCAAAAATTTGAGAAGAGTTCTCAAGGTCTTAATAAGTTTCCTTAATAGAATCCCATACCTCCTTTGCAGTTTTCATAAACATATGAGGTTTGGCAATTAGGGGCTTCATGGAGTTGAGAAGCCAAGCTGTTATGAGTGAGTTCTCTGACCTCCATGTACTGTACCCTTCTTCTGCAGGTATTTTTGGTTGGATTTCTCTTGTGATGTAACCCAGCTTTCCCCTCCCATCAATTGCAAGTCTGACAGATTGAGACCACTCCAGATAGTTTGTTCCATTCAATCTATGACTAGTGATTATCATAGATGAATGAATAAGAGACTGGTAATTTGTCATAGAGCTAATTTGGGAGTTAGGGTTGGTAGTGTGTGAGGAATCAGCTTCACTGGTATCTACCATTGTTTAAACCGAGTCTCTGATACCATGTAGGTTTGAAGAATTAATCTTCCATATATTATTGAGCCATCCGGCAATGATATAAATACAAAATTACAGATAAGCTAAGGTTTGTTACAGATCCTAATATTTAGGATCTATCTATTCTTATCTACACTGCGTGTTAATCTAAGAGTTAGAGTCCTAAATCAACTCTACTTCCTATCTATACAGTTCCGGATGTACACATAATAAAATAACATGAATATGCTACATTTTTCTACAATTACTTTTTCATCAACTTGATATAAGGACATAAAGAAATAGCATACTCAGCAAAGTAAAATAAACACTAATTTTGCATTATAGATCAAATGGGGTTCTTGTTTTTGCATGGAAGTGGGATATTTTTATAAATAAAAACATGTTTTCGACTAGAAACTGACAAGATAGAAAACATTCAAGTACCTTAGTTGTCCATTGTAAACATACTCCTAACTTGTAAAATATTCACTTAAGACCATCATTGAGTTTCTGAACTCTTTTTCCGCATGTGTCCATATGAATCAATAAAATCTCCATCTACACTTTCGATTTGTATTTGTCACAGTTTCCATTTTTTGCCCAGAAATCTTTGATGGATCTCATATTCCCAAGTCCCAACTTAAGATCACATTCAAACTCAAGTCATCTGAGTTCCTTTGATTCAAAGGTCGGTTCTTGCAGTTTTCTTGATTGTATGATTGTATTGACATGATAGGTATGAAGTGTATGTATCCTGATTCATCGGTGCTATGCAAAGAAGATTTTTTTGGAGTTTGACTAAAATTTGAACATTCGAAGAAGCAGATAAATTACTGATTTTGTTGTTGGATATTCTGGTGGAGGTGGGGTTTGGGTGGAGCTGATGATGGCGCAGCCTAGAAGAAAGAAGTGGAGTGAGGCGGAGGAAAGAACCCTGATCGAAAAGTATGATGAGATGATATGCGATGGGACTTTAGCTAAAATGAGAACCAGGGAGAAGAAATATATACCCATTGCCCTACACGTGAATTCTGCCCACCACCTGCTCGATCCAATTGCATATCCATGGCAGTGGACCTGGAAGGACGTATCAACAAAAGTTCAGAACATGAGACACCAGTATGGGCTTGTAAAGCAGAAAATCAAGAAAGATGGGGTGGAGGAGTTTGATTGGGAGGAAGGTATCACACACTGGTCAAATTTCCTTAGGTACAAGGAGGTGTTTGGGGATGTGATGCTTGTATTTAACAGTGCTGAACCACTGGCAGTTGTGGGAGATGGGAATGAAAGTAATAGTGGGGCATTCGACGGGCTTGTGCAATTCGGGCATTTGACTCATTCTGGGGATTTCGGAGGTGGTATGGTCATGGATGGAGATTTAGGGATGAGCCTTGATTATGTCGGGGAAGAAGAACAAGGTGAGGAGAACTATGATAATGGCAGTAATAATAAAAGGAATAATCCTATGAAGGATGATGATGGGGGATTTGTTTATGAAGAAGAAGATATTGAGCCGTCTGGGTCTGACACCCGGAAGAAAAGAAAGGCAATGAATGGGGTAGTTGAGAAGAAGGCTTGGGCGTTTCTCGCCTGCCAGTTTTCTCAGTTAAGGGAAATGGAGACCCGATTTGAGCAGCGTGAGGTGGAGAGAGAACAGGAGAGGATGAGGAGAGATCACATCCGTATAGAAATGGAAAAAGAACGTGAGAGGAAACGGAACGAAAAGGAACGCGAGAGGGAAATACGAATCGAGGATTTGCAGCGACGGAAGGTTCTAGAGTGGGAAGCAATGGAGAAAGAGAGTGAAGAACGAGAGAGACGGAGACGGGAGGAAGGACTAGTTTTGGAAAGGGAACGCGAGGAGAGGATGGATAGGAGGAAATGTGAGTCTAAGAAGCGGATTGAAGACATGATAAATCAGCATCGAGCAGAAATGGGTCAGATTCAGAGTCGGATACTTCATGAGCAACAGAATCTTACTGCTCAGCTACTCGGGATTCTTTCCCAGTGGACAGGTCATCCGACTACGCTCACGGATCATACGGGAGCTACCAATCATTACCTTTCGCAGATGATGCAGAGTCTGCACCATGTGAACACTATGATACATGAGGATGAGAGGGTTGAGGAAGACAATCAAGAAGATCACTTCATAGTTGATGGATGAATTAGCAGAGGTCAGTGGCTTTCTATTTCTGGCTTTCTTCAGTTATATGATGTTGTAGTGCTTTTGTTGTACATAAGGATTTAATTGCAAATGAACTTGGCAGTGATTATCAATATAGATTCAATACTCCTTGGTTTATTTCAGTTATGCTCTATAAGTACTGAGTTATGAGTTATTAAGACTCGATTCATCGAATTTATATATGCAGGAATAAATCAATTTATTTGATAGAGAGCAGGAAGAGGCACGAGTCGGGAACGGGCTTGTGCCCACCTTCGTGGGCTGGTTGCAGGCTGCTTAATTAATATTTATTATTTTTAATTTTCCTGATTTGTTTCCTATTTGGAGTTTATTAGGATTTCTAATATTTGTTTCCTATTAGGAGTTAATTAGGATTTCTATTATTTGTTTCCTATTTGAAGTTGATTAGGATCTTTTTTATTCTAATTCCTAGTTGGAGTTGATTAGGATTTCTAGGATTTTGTTTCCTAGTTTGGGAATTAGTAGATGGGTATTTAAACCCCTTGTTAGGATTCATTCTTGCTCATCTTTGAATAAAATTGGAGTTTAGCCTTTTGGCTCTGGGCAACGGTATTTTTATCGTTGATTATCTGGGCAACACCGAATGGGAGAGGAGCAAGCCCGATTGGGGACTGAACAAGCACGAATGGTGTTTGAACAAAATTGGATGAATAACACCCTGCAAGAACACGTCATGCGACGCTAACCCAGACCCTTGTGCTGCCGGCATCGCCGGCAACTTCCTCGGCTGCGGTCGGAAGTGCGGCCGTGACAACGCCCAGCAACGGCGGACTGCCCAGTGCAGCCACAACCCTCCTTCCCTCGTTCGACGGTGAAGACCCAATTGGGTGGTTGGCGAGAGTGGAGCAACAGTTTGAGCTCAACAGGACCCCACTGGACAGACAAGTTGCAGCGGCTAAGGTTTCTATGGGAGGGGTTGTCCTCTATTGGGTGACTTGGTTGATGGCGCGCAAACCCAACACGTGGCCAGTTTTGATTCTTGATATCAGGGAAACAGGTTTGAACGGCTGTCAGGCATCGAACAAATTGGGTCGGTGGAGGAATACAATAACTTGTTTGTTCAACTGGCTAGTCAAGTTCCGGGATTGATCGACGATCATTATTTGGTCTATTACATAAGTGGACTTAAGGAAGCAATCTGAAGTTCGTTGCGATTACTCTAGCCAGAAAACCTGGAGACGGTCATGGAATTAGCTCGCGATGTGGAGCATAATCTGTCCGTCCAAAGTGGAGGAAGTGGTAGCCCGAATTATAATTCTTCAGGGGTACGTTCCAGCAGCTTTTTAATGGCAAACACTGGTCCTCCGTTGACTGCCAGTGGTGGTAGCTTAGCTTACAGGGTTCAAGGGGCAGCTTTGCGAAAGATAGTGGACAGCCCCCGGGGACAAAGTTAGTGCTGTCCGGGCAGCCTAAGACACACTCCCAGTTCACTCGTCTTGCTCCAAAGGAGTTAGCGGAATTGAGGGCGAAGGTATTATGCTTTAGGTGTAAGAAACCATTTACCCCAAGGCATGACTGTCCCTTTAAGCAGTTGCGGGTAATGATAGCTGAGGAGGATGAGGAGTTGGACCTCCAACAGCATGAGTACTGTGACATAACCGGCCAGGAAAAGGTTCAATGAAGAGATGAAGGATATTTTCCAGTCTATTCTATGACTGGAAATTTCAGTCCTCGATCTGCAAGATTTCAACCTTGAGGACAAGGTTATTTTGAAGGAGGATGGATTGATAGAGAGCAGGAAGAGCATGGGGCGGGAACGGGCTTGTGCCCACCTTCGTGGGCTGGTTGCGGGCTGCTTAATTAATATTTATTATTTTTAATTTTCCTGATTTGTTTCCTATTTGGAGTTCATTAGGATTTCTAATATTTGTTTCCTATTAGGAGTTAATTAGGATTTCTATTATTTGTTTCCTATTTGAAGTTGATTAGGATCTTTTTTATTCTATTTCCTAGTTGGAGTTGATTAGGATTTCTAGGATTTTGTTTCCTAGTTTGGGAATTAGTAGATAGTATTTAAACCCCTTGTTAGGATTCATTCTGGCTCGTCTTGGAATAAAATTGGAGTTTAGCCTTTTGGCTCTGGGCAACGGTATTTTTATCGTTGATTATGTGGGCAACATTATAGTAGATTTGTATTTAAACCCCTCGTTGATTTTATTTTTCTGTTACCCAACATTATTGTATCTTTAAGAATGCCTACCATGTATATATACGTAATCCTTTTTACGACCCTGATATGGACGGTCTCGAATAACTTGCTTTTCTTTTCGAAGTTTTCTACATGTAGGACCATAATTTCTTTTTCTTAAATACTAGACTTATTCAGTATAAAAGAAAGTGTTAACTACTTTTATTATTTATTTATGATGGAGAGAATCCTTTTTTTTTGGTAGAAAAGAAGTATCGTCCTACTTGTGCACATCACTCAAGTTTTACTCCCATTTGCAGGAATTTTTATACAAAAAATGCATCTTTGGCTGCTGGCCTGGTGAAACGGCAGCCTTAACCTGTTCACTCTGCTGAATACTTGAATGTTCTGAGCTTCTGAGTTCTCACATTATATATTCTGAAATACAAGTATATATGTAGTATATAGTAGAGAAATGTTTCATGTACTTTTAATCTCTAAGGAACCAAAACTCTACCAGCTGGAACATTTAATACTTCTACTTTGTATTTCTTACCTAGTACTAGTATGCGATGCAATGATCAGAAAAAGGTAATCTTCTTTCTTTTGCTTAATGTTTCGTATTAATTTGGTGTTGGGGGTCCTTAACTGGCTAATTGCACAGGATTTGGAGGTGCATCTGTCTCCAGGAGGGTGTGTGTTCATTTTTTGTGGGATATGAAAGTCTTAAATACTCGTTGCAAACATAGTGTTATTTGATTTCGTTGCACTAGATTTAGTGATTTACTACGACCCTAGATTTTGCTTCTTGGTCTATACATGACGCTCCATCAATAGGGATGGACCGGGCTCGGTCCAGGTCGGGCTGGGCCCGGACGGTTTTTTTTTAAATTTAGGCCCGGAACCGGTCCAGATAGCTACCGGGTCCAGGTCGGGCCGGTCTACCCAGCCGAGTGTTGGGTCGGGCCGAACCTGGGCTTTTTTAAAATGTTTTTTTAAAGTTAGAGTATATTTATTTGAAATAGGAAGTACAATTGAGAATTCAGAAAAATTTAAAACATGAAATACATTTTCTAACAAATAATCATCAATCGGGAAGAAATTAAAACTTGAAATATGAAGTACAATTGATAATATAGTTAATAGCCTATTTTAAAGAAGCGGGAAAAAGTACTTCGCATCCATTTGCCTTTTAATTTTGCATACTCCTCGGAGTGGTTTGCCTTCAAATGCCTATCCACGCCTCTGTGTCCATGAGAAATTTCCAAGCAAATTTTTTCATTACAATGGTAGCAAGTTGCCCACCACATTCTACTCGTCGTTTCCTTCCATTCTGTGTAATTGTTTTTCATAAGGAGAGATTGACCTTTCTTATCGTTTCCGTCGTCTTCGGGTGTTTCCTTGTCAGGGTTTGGTGATGGCCTTGTACCTCTTTGGGTGTTTCCTCGTAAAACGCATCTCTTGGTCATAATTTGTGTCAAAATCGTCTCGGCTTTGAGAAGGAGATTCGATATGTCCTTTATCTTTGCGTCAGAGGTTACTCATATCTATAGAATGTCTACCACGTTCCATCTTTAAATGTAACAAATATTAAACAATTCTAAAATATTTAATACTTTAATATATATACTTGACATATACTCCCTCCGGTCCTTAATGAAGTTTACACTTTGACTTCACACATATTAAGGAAATAAATTTGACTTTACTGTAGAGTACACTGTTTGACACTGTTTGACATTGTTTGACACTGTTTGGCACTATTTGGTGTAGATTTGTTTGCCAAATAAGAAAGTATAAAGTTTAATATGGGACGATCCAAAAAGGAAAGTGTAAAGTTAATTAAGGACCGGAGGGAGTATTAATTAGATATAATATGTAAATATATGTAAATATAATAAGTATATGTTAAGTAGATATTAAATATAAGTAGATATAATATATGTATTTATAAGTAGATACTAAATATATAAGTAGATATAATTGTATAACTAATTTAAATAGATATGAATAATATGATACTCCCTCTGTTTTCAAAAGAAAGTCACGGTTTGACTTCACGATTATTAAGGAAATAAATTGATTTTACTGTAGAAAACACTGTTTAGACACCATTTGGTACTGTTTGGCACTGTTTGGATGTAGATTTCTTTGCCAAATAAGGAAATAAGGGAAATGTGACTTTGTTTTTGAAACATCTCAAAAAGGAAAGTGTGAGTTTCTTTTAGAAACGGAGGGAGTATATATTAATAGGTGTAGAGATGATGAGAGAATTGGAGAAGATGAAGATGAAGAATTGAAGATGATTAAAGAGTATTATAGAGTAGGAAGAATTGTAGAAAAGATGTAGAAAAATATTTAGAAACTAGGAGTATTTATTGTTTTTCTTACTCCCCAGCCCTCTACCCAGCCCCCAGGCTCCGACGGCTATAGAGCCTAACAGCTCTAATTATTTCAAAAAAATGAGCCATTACCGGCCCTGTTTTTGTAGGCTCGGAGTCCCGCTTCCATACCCCCTGGTTCGGGCCTAGTGGATCGGGCCCGAACCCGGTTGGCGGGGTGGGCCGGTACTAAACAGTACCAATTCAGGCCGGGTCACGGGCCAGTCTACCCGGAACCGGTCCAACCCTATCCATCAACCTTTGTTTTAAAGACTAGAGTACTAGACAAGACCCACAAAACTTCAATTCTACTTTTCCGGTCATTTTATTTTTACAATATTTATTTTATATTATCCAAAAATGCCAGAGTACATCAATAAGAAGTGGAAATATAGGGTTCAACTTTCAACATACGAGTGACCCTCAATATTTTCAAGCAAAGTTGAGGGGAAAAGGCAATTCTTAATTATTTGGCAATTATTTTAATCATTTCTTTTTAATCCATTTCTTTAAAAGATATATCAAATTTTTTATTTTCTTAAGATCTTTGATATAGGACCAATATTGCATATAAAAAATTAAAAAAAAAATGCTAAAAATGAATATTTATAAAAAACAAATTTTTGGTCCAACTTTTTATTTACAATATTGATACCAATGGAATGATCTGAAAAAGTTATTAAATCCGATATTTTTTTATGAAATTTGTACAATAAATAAAAATGTTGAAAGCTCATGGCAACCACATTAGTTTAAAGAAAAAGGGTATGGATAACCACTTGGCAATAAAGAGGAATGAGGTAATGTTCAATTGTTCACTCTCCTTAGACTCTTAGAGGGGGTGAACAAAATTGCACTCCCATATTTATCACACAATTCATTTTTTGTTAACATAGAAAGACCACGATTAGATTGAAAGCTAATCATAACATGCTCAACTGCCTCAACGAGTCAACATCTACACAGCTTTTTAGAAAAATGTTTTTTAAGTCTATAACATGTTCAACTGTCATAACATGTACTATTGTGATTATCTTACTTTCCTTTTTTTGATAAATAACATGTAATGTTTATCATTTCTCCTCTTTATTCAAATTTCAATCACAATTTTTATTTTTCAATTGCTTTATTAATAGTCGTGTCAAACTAAAATAAAACATTCAGTATGCAATGAAGTTGTGAAGGTAGTATCAGATACCGCTCTAGCAAAATTTATTGTTCCGGACTCCCGAGCAAAACCAACTTACCCATTTATATGTGATTGTGATACACTTCCAAGAAAAATGGTTTAGTCAATTGGCAATGATCTTTCTGGAAGAAAATAACCAGAACTAAAGTCAATTTGTTAAAACTGAAATTAGTTAAATCCATTAAATTTATTGAATTATGGAAAAATTATATCTAAAATATATTTTAATAATGAAGTAATGAGAAAATTATATGAAAAAAAGCAGACTCATCTGCAATAATTTAATTAGAAAAGTAACTTCAACGTTATTTATTTTGATTATTACACAATTTAACAAACGCAATAAAAAATTACGTATTTGATGATTAGCATAAAATAGAGATTACCATAGGATAGGGGTGGATTCAGGCCCGGCCAGGTCCGGATCGGGCCTAGGCCTGGCGGGCCAGCGGTTCTGAATAGGTGGACCCGAGACCGGCCCGAGTAGCCACCGGGTCCGGCCCGGGCCTTGGGCTTAGTTAATTTTTTTTTTCTTACATACCTATCCCTGACCCCCCCACCCCCCACCCCAACCCTCCAAACCCCTCCTAAACATCAAGCCCAACCCGGGTGGAGCCCAAAAAAATGAAAACAAAACAAAAAAAAATCAATTTGGCCCGAACCGGGCCCAGCCAGGTCTCCTTTTTACCAACCCGAGCCCACCCCGCTTAGCCTAAATAACCAGGCCTTACCGCTACTGTGCAGGACCGGGACCGGCCCGGGGGGTAGGGCGGGTCCGAGCTCGGGTCTCAAATTTGGTGAACCGGCCTGGCCGGGTCGGGCCCAGGCCAAATTGATTTTTTTTTTTTTCATTTTTGGGGTTCCACCCGGGTTGGGCTTGATGGGTAGGATGGGTTTGGGGGGGTTTGGGAGGGTGGGGGTGAGGGGGGGGGGGGGGGGTAGGAAAGCAAAAAAAAAAAAGGAGGCCCGGCCCGGCCCAGACTAGGACCGGACCCGGTGGCTACCCGGGCCGGTCCCGGGTCCACCATTCTTGAACCGCCGGCCCGCCCGGGCCTAGGCCCGACCCGGACCCGGCCCGGACCCGAGTCTACCCCTAGGTTCAGCCATTAAGGCGATGATGAAAATACCTGAACCCAAGTATGTCTTTGTTTGTGTGTGCATGTGTCTATGGGATCAATTAAGCATATGCATCAAACATTCAATTTGATACGTAAAGCGTGAGAAACGAGAACAAATGCGAGTATTACAAGACAAGAAATGTTAAATTATCAAATCAAAAGATAAAAACTATGACAGCGAAAAAGGTGGTTAAAATGTACATATGAGATCGAATAACTAACATACAAACCATGATGCAAATATGAACTAATTCATATCATCAGCCTCGAACCACAGAATCAGTAATAGACTGCGGTGAGTCGGTGACTGTGCTCAGTAAGCTAGCCATGTCCTGACACAATACAGAATAGCATATTTTAGTAAGCCTGTAAATTTGGCACTTCTACTTTCCTACACCATTTAATATCAAGTTTGGTCTCGAACACTTTAGAACTATGGAAACAAACTTTGCATTCCAACTTGATAGCATAAATCATATAATTAGGAATGAGTGATATTTTTCATCTTCAAGTTTCAAGTACTTCACAATTTCTTATATCAGGCTTATTCCTAATTATTACATGATGCTTTATGCTATCAAGTTGGAATGCAAAGTTTGTATTCATAGTTCTCTTGTCTTCAAGAGAAATGAAAAATAAACAGCTCCTAGTTCCAACCTCAAAAAAATTAATACCAAGTTGTTTTTATCTTAAGGCCGCAACACAACTACAGGAACAAACCTAAATTGTCATCTTTCTAAACTTTTTCTTGCTCATATGTGTATACATTATGTTAGAACAAAATAATTTTAAACTCTATTGGATTATGGTTTTCCATAGCATGTAAAAGGATCCTATATTTGTTATGCAAAGTGTTCCTGCAAGAACAGGTTCAATGTTAGAGTCTCAGGAAGTCAACTGTTTGATAATAATAATAATAATAATAATAATAATAATAGTAGTAGCTATTATGATAAAGTATTCCTGAAGAAAAGGGAATAATAAGTAGCTAGCTGTTTTGTAATTGGGGGTCGGGTGGACTTCTATAAATAGATAGCTAAAGGAGGAATAAGGCAGGCTGTTATTTGGTATTGGGCTGGGACTGGAGAGTTGACATCTCTTCAACTGTCAGGGCACTTTCTCTATCTTTTCTGTTGTTCGAATAACCATTCCTGTTCACTATTCATATTCGTTCATATTTTCTGCCGCCATTATTACTGATTCCAGATAGATACTTAACATTGGTATCAGAGCATCGACCTGGTAACCTGTACATGGTCGTTACGAGAGGATCAACAAGAACAACAATGGAAGTTAGACTGGAAAACTTGGAACGCGAGTTGGAACGTAGTCGTCTGGACATGTTGCGAGAGTTGGAGAAGACTCGCATGGAGGTGATGCGCGATCGCGATCGCGACCGCGAAGACATGCGCGAAGAGGCTCAGCGAACTCACGATGAGTTGCGCGACTTAATAATGCAGCGAGGCGAGTCGCGCGGAAGATCCAAAACAACGAAGCGAAGTAAGCGACATGATAGCAATGAATCGTCTTCGTCAGGTAAGCATCAATCTTCTTCGCGAAGTGATGATTACAGTAAATTGATGGAAAAGTCTGGAAGGAAAGTAGATTTACCACTCTTTAACGAACATGATGCTTATGGATGGATAGTTAAAGCTGAGCGTTTCCTTAAAATGAATCATATAGAGGAAGATGATAAAGTAGAATTAATTACTTTAGCTATGGAAGGAAAGGCTCTTAACTGGTTTCAGTGGTGGGAAGAACACACTGAGGTGAGGGAGGACCTGGGAATCATTCAAGTCTGCCTTGACTCGTAGATTTCAACCAGGATTGATAAATGATCCTTATGGCCCCTTATTGAGTGTAATTCAAACTGGCAGTGTAATGGAGTATAGGGAACAATTTGAGTTGATGGTGGCACCTTTGAAACAGACTGGTCTGAAAATCCTTAAAGGAATCTTCATGAAGGGTTTAAAAGACGAAATAAAAGCAGAATTAAAATTGTATCCAGTCAGAACTCTTGCGGAGTTGATGGATAGGGCCTTGCTAGTGGAACAAAGGAATCAGACTCTGAAATCTGCCAGGAACAAGGAAGATGATAGAAGAGGAATGAAAGATAAGGGGTATACTTCAGTACAGAATCACAAATGGATGGATGAAAACAAAGGGAGGAGCAGTCTGAACTACCAGTCCAGTCAAGGGAAACCTGCCATGGAAAAGAAAATGATGGAGTGTTAGAACACTGAAAATCCGATCAAGAAATTATCAAGAAAGAGATCAAGAGATTTTATTGATGCAGAAGAAGAGTATGGAACGTATACAAAGCCCAGGACAATTCGAGATGCCCAATCTCCCAGCCTATTCTCAACTGAATATTTGCCTACCTATCCTTTCCCCCCTTCCTTACTATTTATAGTACTTCTATTTCTATTACAAGCCCACTTATTATTATCTACAATAATAGGCCCATTCCTATCAATACTCCCCCCTAAACAACCACCTTGTCCTCAAGGTGGGGAGTAATAAACACGCATGCTATTCAACTTCATCTTGGCACCTCTGCCTTCCCAATATTTCCTGGATTTCTGAGCTAGGAGCTCCACTTCTTGAACATTCATCATCACTTCCTCTTTCATATGGATTAGTTGTTGACAAACTGGTAAAGCAGCTCTGACCAGGTCAACGGGTGTTGGTGGCTGTTCTTGACAGAAGTTAAACAAAATCCATGTAGTGTTTCTCATCATAGAAAGCTTTTCAAGCTCATTCAACTGTCCTAAAGATGGTAAGAGTGAGTCATGACCAATACCCAGGTCCTTACAGATTGAATCATCACCATCAAAACCAAATAATGTTGTAGATGATGCTAGAGCTGCATGCCTTGCTTCCGTAAGAACCTGCCATTTGCCTCTCAAACAACTTTCACTAATTCCAGTAACTCTCCAGAAATTTATGGCCAGTTTATGCATTGTTTTTATCTACAAAGGAAACCTGTCCAATAAGATCAATGGCTTTTGCGACCCCACACAATCTTCCCCTCTCATCATCCCTGCGTAATAGACTTGGAATCATACTGGCTGAATCAATATCAGTTGATAATACCGTTCTATCTGAGGTTTCAAGATCTGCAGTCATCAGATCAACAACTAACAAACTGCCACCAACCAATACACATGTCACTATGTTGGCTACAGCTTTCATCAATACCTCGTTTAGGCCCTGTGCAGCTTCAACAACTGTCTCTTCGAGCAAAGCAGGCTTTGAAAGTGAGCTGGCATCGGCCTCAACATTTGCTGCGCCTTCCGGATTATCTGGTGGTCGTCCCGTGGGTTGAATATCATCATCCTTCATTTCCATAAACGTGTAATGAATGCCATAGATAGCAGAGAATGTGGTACTGGTAATCAACTCTTTAGAACATTTACCATTAGGAACTCCAGGAGCAGCTTGCCCCGACTTCACAGAAACAGTTGTAAGTTTGAATGTACCAATTCCTGTCCCGGCTAGGAAGGATTGTGATTGATACATTAAAGGATAGAGCCCAGTTGGAAAGACAAAAACATCAGGCCCCGTAGTCATCACAGCCTGATCTGATTTCCACGCCAGTGCTTGAATCCTCCTTCCCTGAGTTTTATCTGTGACTTTTCCCTGCTCCTCCAGTTTCCTTGACAGCTGATCCTTCGCTTTACCCGCATGAATTCCATTTTCATCCATCTCAGGGGGTTTCGTACCTTCATGATGATTTGGATCATCATCTGGATTTGGTTCCTTGATTACAGCTTCAATTGACTTCAACTCGATATTCGTTATCGAATGTGTAGTCTCCAACCATCTAATTCCAGGATCAGTAATGTAAATGGCTCTCGAAGAAGAAGAAATTTTCGCAGGGGAATGAACCTCTTGAGACAACACTTGCGCAGCTGGCGACACGACTTGCGAAGAAGAAAATTCTTCTCTCGGTAGCGTCGCATTCTGACGCGAGTGGATAGCCGATGGGAACGCCTGCGGCGTGAATTGCGAACTGAGAGTGTGAGTTTGCGATTGTGAGCTGGTACTTGGGTTTCGCGACTGCAATCTTGTTTCACTTGAAGAAGAAGTTTGCGAGTGTGATTGCGAAGACTTCTGCAAACGTATGAGGAATTCCGATGATGGACTGTAACTCTGTAAGAACAAACAGTATTTCTTGGCGAAGATTCTTGCGAACTGGAATGATGCGTGAGTGTCGAACTGTGCGACCTATGAGAAGTTGTACGCGAAGGGGCCGGTGAACTGCGGACATCTGTTCGCGGCTGAGAATAGCCCTGCGCAAGTGATGAGGTTTGCGAATTAAGCAAAACTGTTCGTGATCTTCTTCTTGCCCGTAAATGTTCTTCCATAGCAGCTAGCTTTCTCGCGAGGTTATCCATCTTTAACTTCACCTCTTGCTGATTCCGCTCCAGCGAATCCATGCGCTCCAACGATTCCAGTCGATGATCCATTTTGCCTCTCGTTCGAACGGGAAAAAAAAATCTGGATTTCTGTACTTCTCTGATCAATTCTGTAACTACCAGGAGCGTAATGCTCTGATACCAATGTTAGAACACTGAAAATCCGATCAAGAAATTATCAAGAAAGAGATCAAGAGATTTTATTGATGCAGAAGAAGAGTATGGAACGTATACAAAGCCCAGGACAATTCGAGATGCCCAATCTCCCAGCCTATTCTCAACTGAATATTTGCCTACCTATCCTTTCCCCCCTTCCTTACTATTTATAGTACTTCTATTTCTATTACAAGCCCGCTTATTATTATCTACAATAATAGGCCCATTCCTATCATGGAGACAGGAAATAAGGAGTCTGGAATAATGGGTACACACAGATTATCTCAATCTGAGTTACAGGAGTTGAGCAGAAAAGGGCTCTGTTTCAAGTGTGGGGAAAAATGGGGAAAAGATCATATTTGTAAGATAAAACACTTCCAGCTCGTCATGTTAGATGAATCTGAAGAGGAGGAGGAATTTGAGAGTAATACTATAGAACCTGCTTCACCAATGGAAGAAACAGACCTCTCTACTATGCAGTTATCTTTCTTGAGCAAGGAAGGAATCACAACTCCTAAGACTTTTACAATGAAGGGAAAGTTAAGGAGCAGCAAGGGGGATAAAACTATAATCATTCTGATTGACTGTGGGGCCACCCACAATTTTATATCTCATAAGGTAGTTCAAGCAGCAGGCCTGCCTATATTACAGATTCCAGAATTCAAGGTGAAGATAGGAAATGGAGACATAATCAGAAACAATGGGAGATGTGAAGCTGTTTTCTTAACATACAACAAACTACTATCGTTCAAGACTTTTATGTCTTAGAATTGGGGGAAAATGAGATAGTTTTGGGGCTGGATTGGTTAGCAGGCTTGGGAAATGTTGAATTTAATTTCAATCAGCTAACTATCAAATGGAAGGAAAAGGGTAAAGCAATGAAGCTTCAGGGAGATACCAACTTCAGCAGGAATCAAGTTTCTTTCAAATCCATCATCAAGAATAAGCAAGAGCATGGAGAAGGGTATTGTTCGTTCAGCACTGCAATAACTGAAAACAAACTGGAAGTAAGTATGACTGGAAATTGGAAGAAAAAGGTGGGTTACACTACTAAAGGTGAAGCATTCAAACTATCAAAGTGGTTTGTGGATTCGAGGGTTGAACCGATCCCAGCAGTTGAATTGATTAGCAAGTTATATGCAAAAGAGAACTATGGTGAGCAGGGTTTGAACCAACAGTTTCAGAGATGGAAGGATGTTAATCTGGAGTGGTATAATGGTGGAAACAAGGGGTATGGGCTGCAAAATCTTGAAGGAGTATCTGAAAGGTGTTTTATCATTGAATGTATTGGAAGGGAGGTGCTGGATGTGCATGCTTATGACGCACACCCAAAAGAAAATGTAGAGAAGGGTCACAAGCAATTTTACTATATCAATCTGGAGGACTCTAAGGCTGCTGAAGTGAATTGAAGGTCAATAGAGACACCTTCTGCTGCAATAACAACGGTGATTTTGGAAGTTCATGCGCTGAAGATAACAATAAAGAAAGCAGGGGTATTGGGAAGGAAGAGGTGCAAAAATGAAGAAGAAGCTGTTTGTCAGGAGTGTCTCATATGACCCACCTTGAGGACAAGGTGGTTGTTCCAGGGGGGAGTGATGTTAGAGTCTCAGGAAGTCAACTGTTTGATAATAATAATAATAATAATAATAGTAGTAGTAGTAGTAGTAGTAGTAGTAGTAGTAGCTATTATGATAAAGTATTCCAGAAGAAAAGGGAATAATAAGTAGCTAGCTGTTTTGTAATTGGGGGTCGGGTGGACTTCTATAAATAGATAGCTAAAGGAGGAATAAGGCAGGCTGTTATTTGGTATTGGGCTGGGACTGGAGAGTTGACATCTCTTTAACTGTCAGGGCACTTTCTCTATCTTTTCTGTTGTTCGAATAACCATTCCTGTTCACTGTTCATCTTCGTTCATATTTTCTGCCGCCATTATTACTGATTCCAGATAGATACTAAACATTCAACCTGCTCTTATTTTCAAAGCTAGAATTATATATCTTCTACGGCTTCCCTATGCTTCCATGCCATACAAATTTAAATGATATCCAGGAGCTAAATAAAACTACGCTACGCAAAGAGGCTAGAGACAGAGTAACCTTGGCTTATTGGTTCTTTTTTGAAAGAACAATTTGATCTTGTACCCTTCTGACAAACCATTCCAGGTAAGCTCTGCCCTCATGGTCTAGCATTGGAGAATAAAGCTGCCTGAAAGCAGTAAGAAGTTATCGTAAAGGTAAAACAAACAATCACAAGATAAAAAAAACTGAACAGTAAATATTGTAAGTAACAAACAAGAAAATGCATCTGTTCATTGAGCAGGTTCAGCAAGCAGTCCTTTGTTTGTACAGACACATCACAGATGCATGGGTTCTATCACCCACCCTAACAATCAGATTTCAGAACTTGAAAAATATCAACCCAAGTATTCCCCAGAAATGTTCAAGTATTGAATTGACGTAGTACTCTTAAAGACATGATTATATATCTATATAAGTTATAAGCATGAATCTTAACTCATCTCCCAGGCATATAGTTTAAAAACAAAACACTAAAATAACTATAAGCACCAGATTTACTGACTCCAGAATCCAGATACAGAAATTCAACACAGATGGCAGCCAAAACAAATTTTAAGATTAAATTTTAAAAATCTATCAAAGAAAAACTTGACCTAAAGAGCTGTAGAGCATATAAGTTGTTCCAGTCCTTTAATTAACTGTTTGTCCCATTCGCTTGCGCTTGCTTTTAATAAATGTAAAGATGATTCTTGCATACCAACCGTACAGGACAAGACAAGTCTTGCAAATAAATACTAAAAGATATAAGCGGCAACGAGTAAACTCCTTTGGAAATAGAATATGGTGGAACAAAAGCTGAAAGAGGGATGGACCTGAATGATTTTACAGCATCAACAATTTCTCCTATTTGTACATCATTGGGGTATATCTGAGCATATTGCAGACATTGAAATAGATGTCAAACTGTAGAAGTATACAGAGTCAAGAATATATATTTGCAAATTTTCTTCACGAAAGAGGAAAGCGAACTGCAACTATTTAAAAATCCAGAAGAGTCCAACCATACATAAGAGTTGCAGAAAACCTTCTGCAGTTGTTCTCTTCTTGACATTTAATACAAAAACAACAATAAATCAACATAGACTTGTCCATTTAATCAAGCTGAACTATATGTTTTGAGAAAGTTGAGTGTTGAAGAACCCTGAAAGCTGATTTTGGTAAATAAAATAAAAACCCGAAGTACTAATCATATTTCAAGGTGTTCAATACAATTGACAGTGTGTTACAATTCCCTAGTGATTCCATTACATATTCCAGAGTCCAATACAATTGATATATTACACCACATTACGAGTCCATAGAATGTCTAGGTTTTGACTTCTTTCCTAACTTTTGACGCATGTGTACTTCATGGGCTATACACATGTTTCTATATTGACTTTTTGAGCTTCTCCCAACATAGGATTGTACTTGCTCACATATAAAAAAATTTATTCATCAAGGAAACCAATATGAAGGAACCATTGAAAAGAGCATTCAACTTCCATTAACAGTGTCCTCAAGAGCTATTAGGATGTGTGCCTGTGACCCTATTGATCTTGAATTACAAATCATCTTCAGAAAATTCACTTGTTCATGCACCAACATAAGCTGAATGACAATTAGCCAACATTGTATTTTAGCTTTTTAAAGTATAATTTATTTTTATGTTCTGTAAAACATTTTTTTCTCTTTTCTCTCTATAATCTTCACATGATTATACATGTGGACACAGCACACTTTAACTTTATTTTAATCAGTAATGTTATGTGTACCACATTTTTTCATTTTCAAATATAGTTTTTTCTGTTGCAATAGAATGTTTTACACGGTTTCTAAGTATCTAGGTTGTAATTACTAACACTCAAACACAAATTTATGTTTTATTAGGGATGAATTAACTTTATCGTAAATAAAAAATCGTAAATCGAAATGAAGTGTATAGGGAGCAGAGGTAGTCATTTACTCTATTCAGACAAGTAAATGAGAAGCACCTCTGAGGTACATGTTGTAGCATATGTGAAAGCCTACAATCACTTGCCACTTAGACACTTAAATCGGGACTATTTTCTTCTGCAGAGCAGAACCTTAGCATAGATGATCAGCAATAGAAGTTCATAGATACTTCGTATTTGCAATTCAATCAGGTAAAAAAATTTAGAACCCTTAAACCCTTTTTTCATCATAATGTCATCATTGACATATGCATACCTCGGCATGCTTCAGCTCCATTGTACCCTCCACTAGTTCTATTTCCAATTTGTGGTATTGATCAAACAACCCAGAAGAACTATCAACCTTTTCCTGACACAATGAGCCATCATTGTTGGGGATGCATGTCCTAAGAGATAAACTGATGTGGTTCCCATCAACTTTAGCTACATGTAGACCATTAAGTGTACCATCAAGCATTTCTATAGCTTCCAACCTGAATAGGTGGGATATTATTTCAAATAACATTATGCAAGAACAAGAATGAAGAACAAAAGCATTTTCTGTTAAACAAATACCTCTTGAAAGCGCCCTCAAGATCTTGCAATGTCTTATAAGCTATTTTGCTCTTCTCAAGTTGATTGCTAAGTTCTAAAAGCTTCATGACAAATTCCCAAAATTACATATTCATTCGAGAAGAACATTCTTATTTTTGGAAGTTTATTCTATCACTCTCTATATGTTACCTCACATTGAATACTCCAACTAATTAAATTTCTCACTTCCTTTACATTTTATAAAAGTGCACCAAAAACTTGGATATCAAGTAAACCTTGAAATTAAATTCCTCTTGTGTGCTTGTTAAGTTCTCTTCATCTTCTATTTCTCCTGAGCAACATGCATGGTCACCCCCCTGCTTCAATCTCTAAGACAACACATTTAGAAAAGAAAATATGCATTGACACAGATGATTTCCGAAGCAATGCAACAAAGAATCTACCATTAAGTGATAAATATAAAAGAAAAACACATGGAAAGTGAAGAATAATATGATGGTAAAAGATATCATCACTTCTAAGTTCTAAATATAGATTTTAGAATTTGGAAAGTGCCTTCATCTTTTGTCCTCCAAAAAGACTGGTTTGATAAATGTAAAACAATCTAATTTCGGCGGGTTAAAACAATGCTAACATATTTGAATATATTTATTCTTTTAACTATACACATTATGTGTGTCTTGTTTCAGACTCTTTTTTGGTAAACTTTTGACAAATTATATAAAAACTTGTCTTGATTGGATCAAAATGGACTCGTATTTTTTAGACACAACAATTTGTTTGAAACATGGCTATAATTTTGGGGAAAGAGGAAGTATTGCAAGTAATATTAAGATTCAGCACCATAGAGTTTACCAACACAAATAAATACACTAGTCATATTTTTCAGCATAGAGTCACTCAGTCAGTACTGCAATTCAGAAGCTAGATATGTGTTATCTTTTAAGTCCCCATATCTGAGAAAGAGCATTCCCATACAACCTCGAAATCCCACATTTATTGACCAAGAGGAATAACCTCATTAATCCAAGACACAGTTGCAAGTATTGTTCACAAGATATGTTTTAAGGCATTCTTTAGTAGCCAAAGTTACTATATGTCTCTCTATGGATTATACGTATAGAAGTGTAGAGCATTCTAGACTATTCATAAAAGAATGAAAGAACCTGTGATTCCAAAAGGTCCAACGAACAGCATAAACCTTCAACCTCGCATCCCAATTTCTCAGATTCTTGAAACACGAGAAAAACATTTAGGAATCATGCAAGGAACTCGTGAAACCACGTTCATTGTCAAGTTTTAAACTATAAGTCGTGACAGCACCTTCCGCACATCTTCTAGAAAGTTCCTCAATTTCCTTTGACATTTCTTCACTTTCACCCTCCAAGGAGCTTTGCTCATTTTGAAAATACCCCACAAGCTCATCTGAAATATCAATCAACGCAGCAATAGTAACAAGCACAATTTCCCCTACAAACGCATTAGGGATGCAGAGAGGCAGACTTTTACCTATATCCCTATTAGCTAATAAGTCTATATCTGATGTGACTGATAGTATTTGATCTATTTTGCTCTGCAACATGAATTCAAAGAAATAAAAAAGTAAATATTAGGGAGACAAAAGTACTTACCTAATCTTACAATAAATACACAGTCGAAGAAATATACGGAGTACTTTATAACGAGCATTATGCGTGGTATTCACATCCTATATAGAATAACGGACCTCGAACTGAAGAGAACACTCGTTCAGTAATTTCTCCGTATCTGAAGAGGAATGTTCAGGAGCATCCTTGGAGTTTCGTAAGATATCTCTAAACTCCACGATTCGACTGTGAAGGTATCACAAATCATTTTAAAGCCAAAAAACGGTGACTTGGTATAACTTTATCAAGGTATTAAGAAAGACCTGCGTAGTGAATCGAGATCGAGAGCTGGCGAAGAAGAGGTAACAAGGGTTCGTTCGGCCATTTCTGGTAGACCTTCTTCTCAAACTCTCGGCATTTTCGTTGGGGAAAAAAATGTTCGTTTCCACACTTCCGTGTATATTCAAACTCCACTCATGAGTGGGTAATGGGAATAGGAGATGAATTGGATGTCTACAAATCAAGTTTTGTGAATTTGGGAAACTCAATGTACCATATCCCAAATTTGACTACCGCACAGGTAGCTCAATTAGTCGAGTGGTGGGAGATTTGGATCAATGGATCAAGTTTCGAATCCTCGCAATGATCGAGTGGAGGTCACAGAACCTGAAATAAGATTGGACATTTGGTGCGCACGGGTGTATGAGCTACTGTCACATTCTGGTGACTGAGTCACCGTAACTAACATCTCCACCATCCTGTCTAGTCGGGGTGAGGGGCTCCTGGATGGGAGATTCCACCTTTTGGATGAAAGAGTAGAGCTTGTTGTTCTAGCCTCAAACGGTTGAGGCTAGCGGACTATTAGAGCTATTCAGATTTTGACTTATTTTGAAGGCCCCCAACACTGACTGGACGGTACGTTATAAGGATGTAAATTGGACTATAATCACAATCTGACAGATAGAGAGTTGGGTTCTGATCGTACTTGCAGAGGCTCTATGCATTGTTTAGGATAGTAACCTCTTTGACTTTCTTTTAGTATTTGCTATCATGGTAGCTTATGATTAATTAATGGGAAAATTCCTGAAATAGTAGTAAAAAGGTTTGAAAAATCCAAAATAGGACTGGCATGTTTTTATTCCCAAAATAGGAGTAATTACTGCCAAGTTTGGAAAATATTGTCATGTTTAAAGTCTGGTACTGCCAAAACATGACACTAATTAGTCCTATTTTGGGAATAAAAAAATGATAGTCCTATTTTGGAATATACTAACGTTTTTAGTGCTATTTTGGGTTATTTTTCTTAATTAATCCTACAAAATCAGAATTGCCTATTGAAGTTTGAGAAATTTTTTGGGAAAAGTACGGAAAAGGTACTTATGTTTGGGCTCGTTTTCAGATACGGTCATGTGTTTTATTCTTTATCAAAGTAGTTCATGTGTTTGAATTCCGTTATCACAAGAGGGTCACACCGTTAAAAATGTCGGAAAAAGACCGTTAAAAGTAACTTCAATTTTCAAAACAACAACAACAACAACAACAACATCCAAGCCTTAGTCCCAAAAGATATTGGGGTCGGCTAACATGAATCGCTACATGATATCACAACCAAAAGGAAAAGAAGGAATAAAGATAAAAAGATAAGCTATTATGAAAAGATAATATAAAAAAGATGAATATATATAAAAATGATAAAATAAAAAGGCTGCAAATAATGCATATATATATATATAAGGATAAAAAAACTAGGAAAAAAAAGATGAGGGAAAAAGATTATCAAGATCACTCCTTCACGTGAATACCCGCCCTCCACTTAGTTCTATCCAAAGTCATGCCTTCATCCAACCCCAGAAGAAGCATATCACTTCGAACTCCCCTAACCCACGTCTGTTTGGGTCTTCCTCTCCCTCTCTTCCCTGCCTCTTCTCCACACATCTCAACTCGCCTAACAGGTGCATCACTCGGTCTTCTACGCACATGACCAAACCACCGTAGGCGCGACTCCCGCATCTTGTCTTCAATAGGTGCTACTCCCACCCTTTGTCTGATTATCTCATTCCTCATGCGGTCCTTCCTAGTATGCCCACACATCCAACGCAGCATGCGCATCTCTGCCACACTCATCTTTTGAATGTGACATTGTTTCACCGCCCAACACTCTACGCCATACAGTAATGCAGGCCTAATTGATGTCCTATAAAATTTACCCTTCAGTCTAGTCGGCATACCTCGGTCGCATAGAAATCCTGACGCACTCTTCCACTTCATCCACCCTGTTCTGATTCTATGGGATGCATCTCCATCTAACTCACCGTCCTTCTGAATTATGGAGCCCAAGTAACGGAACATATCGTTGACTTGTATCTCCTTACCATCCAGAGTAATTCCGCTATTACCACTACTTCTACCTCCACCAAACTTGCACTCCATGTACTCTGTCTTGCTCCGACTTAGTTTGAAACCCTTATTCTCCAATGTTTTTCGCCATACTTCCAACTTTGCTTTAAGACCTGATTGCGTCTCATCAATCAATACAATATCGTCGGCAAACATCATGCACCACGGTATATCGTCTTGAATTGACTTCGTAAGTTCATCCATGACTATGGCAAATAAGAAAGGACTCAAGGCCGATCCTTGGTGCACTCCGATAGTAATAGGGAACTCTTCAGTCATCCCTACACTAGTACGAACACTTGTAGTACAATCCTCATACATATCCATGATGATGCTGATATACTTGCGCGATATGCCTTTCCTAGTTAAGGCCCACCAAAGAACTTCTCGAGGTACCCTATCATATGCCTTTTCTAAGTCGATGAACACCAAATGCAGATCCTTATGAGCATCTCTATACTTCTCCATAAGTTGACGAAGAAGGTGAATAGCCTCAGTTGTTGAGCGACCAGGCATAAAACCGAATTGATTCTCTGAAATCTTCACAGTCCTTCGAAGTCTTTGCTCAATCACTCGCTCCCAAAGTTTCATGGTGTGACTCATAAGCTTAATCCCTCGATAGTTGGCACATTCTTGTACATCACCTTTATTCTTAAATAAAGGGATAAGAGTACTCTTCCTCCAACTCGTTGGCATCTTGTTGTTTCTCCAAATCATGTTGAAGAAACTTGTTAACCACTCGACGCCTCTCTCTCCCAAACTTCTCCAAGCCTCGATCGGTATGCCATCTGGCCCCATTGCTCTTTTCCGTCCCATCTTCCTCAGAGCTTCTTTAACTTCCGTTGTTTGGATCCTTCTCACAAAATCACGGTTAACCATACAATCTGGTATGGACAAATCGCCGATATCTTGCGTTTTGTTCCCGTTGAATAGTGTATCAAAGTATGACCTCCACCTCTCTTTTATCTCTCCGTCGTCCATTAATATCCTCTGATCAACATCCTTCACACACTTAACTTTTGCAATATCTTGAGTTCTGCGATCACGAAGACGAGCAAGTCTATAAATATCTAGTTCTCCTTCCTTAGAGTCCAACTTTTCATACAACTCCTTGTTCACTTTCCCTCGTGCTTCCCTTACGGCTTTCTTTGCTTGTCTTTTAGCCTCCCTGTATGCTTCTATGTTCTCATCACTCCAATTTGTCCCCAACTTTTTGTAGCAATCTCTTTTGTTCCTTATGGCTTGTTTCACCTCATCATTCCACCAAGATGTGTCCTTTTTAGGTGGCCGACATCCTTTAGATTCTCCAAGTACCTCCTTTGCCACTTTGTTAATGGTCAACTCCATTGATAACCACACATCATCCACTTGTGTTTCATTATCAATACGCCATACATCTTCATCGACCATTTTGTGTGTAAAGCTTTGTTGAAGATCTCCCTCTAGCCTCCACCACTTTATCTTTGGCTCCACTTGTTGTTTAACTTGTCTTCTATGGTTCTTACCTCGAAAGTCAAGCACAAGCATCCTATGCTGAGTGACAACACTCTCACCTGGAATAACCTTACAATCAGTGTAGCTAGTTCTCCCAGTGGTCCGTACTAAGAAGTAGTCAATTTGGGTACTATTAGCTCCACTTTTATAGGTTACAAGGTGAGAGTCTCTTTTCTTAAACCAAGTGTTCATTATAGCCAACTCATACGTCAAGGCAAAATCCAAAATGTTCTTTCCCGCCTCATTCCTAGTGCCAAAACCATGTCCGCCATGAATATTCTCATAGCCATCACGACTCGAGCCCACATGCCCGTTGAGGTCACCTCCTATGATCAACTTCTCTCCCCTTGGCACTCGTCGCACCACGTCTTCAAGATCTTCCCAGAACTGTTGAGTTGTAGATGCATCCAATCCCACTTGTGGTGCATAGGCACTTACCACAGACACAAACCACCTTCGCTTTTGGATTTTTCAGATCTGTTTGAATTATTTTTAAAAAATGATTTCGCTAATATCACTTTTCCGATGGACTTTCCGGTGACAAGGGTGGCTGAAAACAAAAAGGATAGATGGCCCAGCGGTAGTCTTATTGAAGCGCATCTTCCGGTATTTTTCTTTTGATTTTTCGGACACTTTTGAAAATCGGAGTTATTTTTAACGGTCTTTTTCAGACGTTTTTAACGGCGTAACCCTCTTGTGATAACGGAATTCAAACACATGAACCACTTTGATAGAGAATGAAACACATGACCCTATCTCAAAACAGGCTCAACCACATGTACCTTTTTCCGTACTTTTCCCAATTTTTTAAGAAGGGAAAAAGGGCAAATAAGCCCTCGAACTAATCGAAAAAGTGCAAATAACCCATTTTATAGGAGGCTCTGTCCAGCCGTCGCCATTTGATGCGGTTCCCGGTGGAACATTTTGATGAATTTTTTTGAACATCTTCTTCATTAAGTCTAGTTTATTTATACCAAGTTTCAGCTAAAAATTCAATCGTGAAAGCGGTCAAATAAATGTTTGAAGATAACTGCGCAGTTAAACATCAACGCAGTATATTTCAGAAAAAATCATTTGACTGACTTCCCGGTTGAATTTTTATCTGACATTTGGTATGAGTAAACTAGACTTAATGAAGAAGATGCTCAAAAAAAATCATCAAAAAATTCCATCGATAACCGCCCCAAATAGCGACAGTAAGACAGATCCTCCTATAAAAGGGGTGATTTACACTTTTTCGATTAGTTCTAGAATGATTGTCTAACTTGGTCTAGTTGAGCAAAAGTGTGAGGTTTGTTTCTTATGGGGAAAATTATGCAGAAACAAAACTATAGTATAGTGTATACATAGAAGTAGATGTTTACAGTTTTAAAATACTAGATTCTCACCCGCGCGATGCGCGGGACATATATTAAATACAATATTAAGTAATAATAGTTATTTTATATTCATTGTTAATATAAATAGTTAATGTCTAAATGACATGAAAGAGTATATATGTAATATACATAACCAATTGTAATTAAGGTAAATATATATGACTCGTAACTGGTACGAATAATGTTATGGGAGAGTAAGGAATAATAAATATTACAATAGGAAATTCGTACTCTACACATTCCGAAATACTTCTT